TAATAATTTAAAAATCTCTGTGGCCCTAATACTCCGTTGTACATACTGGAGCTAAACCCAAAATATTAATGTTTATTTATTTTACGTTTAACATTTTAACTGTGAAGTTAACTCTTCCAGTACAAAAAAAGACATGTAAACACACGTTCCGACACATTTTAAGTCCGACATAAAACTGATCACAATGGTAACGTGGTCACACAAACTGACGTGAAGCCGACGTCAGGCAAAGGGTAGGCCGTCTCATTTCACAGCAGTTTTGAACAGCCTACGTGGCCCACGTGGCCCATGTGGCCCAGCGAGGACGTGGCCCATGTGGCCCAGCGAGGACGTGGCCCATGTGGCCCAGCGAGGACGTGGCCCATGTGGCCCAGCGAGGACGTGGCCCACGTGGCCCATGTGGACCAGCCCATGAATTGAGACGCAGCCTGAGTGAAATGGAGGACATTGATGGACTCACTGTCCCCTGAAGAAGAGACACTTGTCTCCTGATTACTGGGGAATGTCTCCAGTGTCTTTATTTCAATTTACATGTGGTATAACAGAAACAACTGTGTTTGTTTCCAAGAAAAACAAAATAAGACGTCAGTTCCTCCTCAGCTGTCACATCTAACCTTGTCTCCCAGAAAAATTAGGTCTTTATCAGTTCTGGAAAACCAGAGAAATGTTCCCCAGGATTAAATAAACTAGTGTTGATCTACAGTTAAACTCCAGAGTACAGGTTTTTCATGTGTCTTCAGGAAACAACAGGAGCTAAATTTGACCTCAGTTTTATATTTCCCTGATGAACACCATCTGAGCTGCATGTTTAAAACGTCATTGAAGCTGTWATCAAGTTGGACAGTTTCACCCTAACATCAGCAGTCTGCAGGAGAGCTGGTCCAAACCAGATCAGGTTTCTGAGCTTCCAGTGGGATTCACTCTGACAGAGCAGCAGCTGTCTGCACTGAGACCCTCCAGATAATATCTAACAGATCAGATTACACCTCATATTCCACAGAAATAACTCAGGTGTTGGACACTTTGCTTTGTGGGACAAATATACAGTTGCAAAGCTGTGTTGATGGGAAAACATGCCATTAATTGTTGAAATCATTTAAATGAATGAATAACTGGATTAAAACTGATTGGATTGTGYTTGATTTCAGCAGCACTGAATCCTAAATCTGCTCAGCTGATTTACCGTKTATTGACCAATGAAGCTTGCACTGATTGACCAAAGAGCTCCTTTCTTGCTGCTTTCTTACAACTAATCCTCTGTCAGCTGAAGGTTGTTGTTACCGGTCAGCTGTTTGCATCTGTCAGCTTGTGCATAAAATCAGTCTTACATGAAAGAAATCAGCCCAAGTGTTTCTGGGTCAGGTTAGAAATATGATTGCTCTCTAGCAGGAAGTGTTCCGTCCCCGAATGCTCCTCTGAAGAGGATGCTGGCGTACACTGGCTGCTTCAGCCGCATGGGCACCATCAAAGACATCCACCTCTATCTGTCTCAGAGGCTCCGGATCAAAGAGGAGGACATGAGGCTGTGGCTCTACAACAGTGAGGTGAGACGCAGACATGTCCAACATTACAACAGTTTTAGTCTCAAACTTACTGTACCTTAGACTATAGATCCTTAACCCATGGGCCGCGGCCCACAATTGGGTCACGAGCGCCACCTTGAGGGCCTCAAAAGAACAACAGTTTYTAACTTTGGGCCGCATAGGACCGTGGGACCGCATTGATTTTGAATAAGGTGCGATACACTTTCTCACCACTAGTAGCAGTAGTGCACCACCCAGACGTTTAACAACATTTTTAATATGTAGAAGAAGAACCTTAGAAACCTGCTGAGAATGGAAACTTATTTTAAATGAAAATTAGAAGCAAAAATGAAAGTAACTCATCAAAAAAGCCAACGTTTGTCACTAATATGAAGAACAGGTGCTGGTTCTACCATGCAATATTTTAAAGGGATCCCCGAATAGTTGTAACGTTCGACTTTATTTGATAAACATTTTAACTGTAAAATAAAGACTGTAAAAATACTATAGGATGTTTAATTTTTAATTTTTTTTTAAATATATTTTAACACGGACGGAGCCATTTTATTTACACGCAAAGCATTCTGGGTAAATGATGA